TACCTAGTGGCTGAAAAAATATTTTGAAGAAATGGTGAGATTTTTTGAACAAAGTGGAGGAAAATAGAAAATGTGATTTTCTTGGACAAAGAAAGGAGAGAACAATGGTGAAAAACTCAAGAGAGAGGTAGGAGGAATTTTTGGTAAAAACCTAGAAAGAGGGGAAAGTAGATAATGAGAGTTTTTTCTTCTTCTTTTTCACAGATAGGGGAGTAAAATTAGGGGGCATGGCTTGAGAAATAAAAGGAAAGAAGATTAATTATATTAGGATACATTTTATTTTTAAAAATATTGACATATTGACATTTTCAATAATTATTTTAAAGTATAGATGTTTTTAACAATTATGTTAGGGAGTTTGACTAGTTTACTAATTTTCCCTATTAATATCTCATCACATGTGGAGAGATTTTGCTTGACATAAGGCTATTTACTTTCGTGAACTTTTCTTGTTAGTTTTTTTGTTTTATTCTACAAATGGAATTGTTACAATATGAAATTTCAATTTCAAAATCTCAATTCTAAGGAGGGATTGAAAGAGAAATATATAGACCTAATTTGTTTTTATTGTGGAAGAGTAACAAATAGATGCATTTAGCTTTAGTTTAAATTCATATAATCATTTTTATATATATATATATATATAATTAATTTTAATTGCATATTCAAAAGTTAGATAGTCTATAGCTTAAACAATATTTGTTAATATAACTTAGCTAAATATCACCACTTTTATTATCCTATGTTTCACGCTTACGTGGATATAATATTTATGGATACTATATTTATTACACTTAAAATTTTGTGCTAAATTATTATGATTTATAGTATTTTTACGCAATTTTTAACTAAGATGGAGGAGAATATCAAAATTACCAACAGAACTAGGGAGACAAGTACACAAAAACCAAGCTGAACATCCATTGTTCTTCTGTTGAGTTCTTATGAAATTCTACTGAAATACGATGAATATATATACTACTAGAAGAGAAGTAAACTCACTAAAGAAAAAGAATCAAAATTATTAATCCCTCCGTCCAGTGTTTTAAAAGACTTTGTTAGGACTCGCCTCGGGGTCTAGCAAAACGCTTCAAGACTCAAGTGTGGGGTTTAGTTTCCTTAGAGATCTTCTTGTGATCTTATTATTCTTCCTTCTTTTAAAGATCTTCTTGTAGTCTTGATACTTGGCCGATTTGATTGTCTATCTTCCAGATTACTTCATTTTAGTCCGACGCTAGGATTGTGGTTACTTCAATTCTGTATCCCTTGAATGATGGCTTTCTTTTCTTGCGTTGCTTCAGTGAGGGCAGGTTGTTTCTTTCCTTCTTTGACGTTCTTTTTTTTTGATTCCCATGCTTGATTTAGTATACATCTTCTCTGATTGAGTTCCAGCAATGACATATCTGCTTTGAAAGGCATGGTTAACTTGCAAGATTTGATTTGATTCCTTGAGTTCAGATTGATTTGAAATCAATCTTCTCCTTAATTGATGACTGCTGATTTGATTCTTGATGCGTCATTCTTTAGGATTTTGTGTATCTAACACAGATACACTAGTCTTGATTTTCCTGCAACACAAGGTAGTTTATCATTATGCAAAATATTATTCCCTCCATTCCATATTAAGTTAATTTTTGAGGTGTTTCACACCCTTTAAGAAAAATAGATTAAGACATAAATTGAATCTACTTTTCCATTTTTACCCTTATTAATTATTGTCAAATTTATGATTAAAATAACTAAATATTAATTAATCACTAATTCCAATACTAACTAATGAAGGGGAAAATTGGAAGAATACTCTAAAAGTAGTCTTGAAAACTGAACAATTAAGTTAATTTGAAAAATAGAAAATGTCTCAAAATTAACTTAATATGGAATGGAGGGAGTATAAGTTAACAATATCATTGTTAGGCTCATAGTAATGGTTGTCGGTTAGAGAAACTCCCCACAAGTAAAGTATATTTATTTTCATATTGTTTTTCATTGTATATCTTATTGTAAAGCTTAAATAGTTTTTTTGAGAAAATCTTGCTGTAATAAACTCACGTCCAATGGGTAATAAACTTTGAGGAACTTGAATATGATGTAGGGAATTTTTTTGAGAAAATCTTGCTTATTTGGAGTGATCAAACCAATCATTTTTCTCTAATGGGAATTAGTATTCGGGATCAATTATTTTGTTTAAAGTCAGGGGGTGAGAATTGGACTACCTTGAAAGATCCCAGTAAGGTTGTCGATATTATTGTGTATAAGGGGAACTTTTATGCTGTTGATATTTATGGAGGGACCATAAAGTATGATCCCTCATCGTTTAACGAGACCAACGTATCTTCCAGCATAAAGATGTTATCTTCGAGCTTATTTAAGAGGTGGGGTAGTAAGAAACGACTGGTGGAATCAGGTGGGAAGTTGTTTCTAGTTGATATGTTTTTAGATACTGATGTTAAGACGGAATTGCATGGTTCTCAACCTTCATGGAAATGTCCCAAGGAAATTAAGCTTTACCGGCTTGATGAAGAACAACATGAGTGGATTGCAGTGCATACATTGGGTGATCAAATTTTCTATGCTGGTGATGCCTGTTGTTTCTCTGTTTCTTCATTAAACTTTGGTGATCAATGCAGAGGAAACTGCATTTACTATGAGAATGGAGGTATAATTGTGGACATCTTGGGAGAGTTACCGCCAAAGTACTACGATGACGACTTTGAAGATGATTGTGTATGTGGTGGTAGTTTTAGTTATCCATTTCCTGTTGATGGTGGTGTAAATTTTAGCAGTGATGATGATGACGACGACGATGATGATCCAATAACTTGCAAACTACTCAAGAGATATAAATCTCATTAGGCAAGTGCAGTGCGATGAGCTCAATTGAGAAGGTACCTAAATTTTTTGATAGTCATTATAAAATCTTGAGTTCCAACAAGATCAAAATCAATACACACAAAAAAATTACACTAAAGCACATAAAATCCAGTAGTAAAACAAAAGTCAATAAAATTACTAAAAAATCAAATTCTAAACAAAGTCCCAAATACCACTAAATTACCAAATTAATTAAAAGAAGAGATAAAAGAAATGATCTAAATCATTAATTTCATAATTTATGCAAATCAATAAAAATGCAATAAGGAAAAGAAACTGGTTTGGAGCATAACAAGGAATACAATATGCTATTTGTTATAGAGTCCTTGATTAATGAGAAGTATAATTAATCATTAATTCGTTACTAATTAATTTTTTTATTTTCTCATTCGGATATTAAATATGTTATTCAATTAGTTAGGATTGTAATTCAACTTTGTCATTCTTAACTCCGATGATGGAAGCCAGGGCTCGTTGGTGTGATCTTCCGATAGAACTTGTTGAAAGAATTAGTAAATTCGTCGACAACCATATTGATATCCTTCGCATTCGTGCCGTATGCAGTTCATGGCGTTCAACATTTTCTCCTAATTTTAAAATCCCCAAACCTCAGTTTCCCATCAAACTACCCTACAAACTGCCTTTCCCCCACCAACCCATGTTCTGGACAACTGATCTCAAATCTCATTGTTATTTAATCGAAAGCACAGTTTATCTTTTCCAACTTCCTCATCCTCCTCACACAGGATGGTTGGTCAAGATTCTAAAAACAGCATACGAAGTAGTTAAGATTTTGAATCCTCTAACCAACAGAGTAATCGATGATTTGCCTGATAAGAAATTGAATTTACTAGATTTACGTGTTTCTCAAGTTTGTAAATTCTATCATGTGCATTGGGTCTTAAACTATCACTCACATTGTCTGCTCGGATATGATTTATTTAATAAAATCTTGCCTATTTGGAATAATCAAACCAATCAGTTTTCTGTAATGGCAACTAGTATTTTTGATCACTTATTGTGTTTTAAGTCAGGGGATGACAAATGGACTACCTTGAAAGATCCCACTAGTAAGATTGTTGATATTAGTGTGTATAAAGGGAATTTTTATGTTGTTGATACTTATGGAGAGACCATAATGTATGACCCCTCCTCGTTTAACAAGACCAATGTATCTTCCAACGTAAAGGGATTATCTTCTAGCATTTTTAATGGATGGGGTAGTAAGAAACGACTGGTAGAATCAGGTGCGAAGTTGTATCTGGTTGATATGTTTTTAGATACTGATGTTAAGGCCGAGGTGCATGGTTCTCAACCTTCATGGAATTGTCCCAAAGAAATTAAGGTTTACCGGCTTGATGAAGAACAACATGAGTGGATTGCAGTGCATACATTGGGTGATCAAATTTTCTTTGCTGGTGACGACTGTTGCTTCTCTGTTTCTTCATCAGATTTTGGTGATCAGTGCAGAGGAAACTGCATTTACTATGTGAATGGAGGTATAACTGTGAATATGAGAATTTCTCCGCCAAAGTACTATGCCTACGGCTTTGAAGATTATTTGGTATGTGGTCTTAGCAAGGAGGTGAAACTTAGATATAAAGGATTACATGGTCATCACACAGGTATCTTTAGCTTACAAGATGGTAAACTTGGTTCATTGTTATCCTTCCTTGAATATGCAGATATTTTCTGGCCACCCCCATCTTGGCTTTTTACTGACGATGATCAGGCAGCTTCTAAAAAGTTTTCGCATTTTGTAATTGATGATAGACATGTCGTTTAATGACAGGCCCTACATGAAGAAGGTTTGGTTTTAAAGGTATCAATGACCTGAAGATTTTAGATTCTTTGTTTATGAAACTCAATGCCTTTCTTTTATTTTATTCACATGCACTTCAATACTCCATTTAACTAATGCATTCGTTCCTTGATTGACTTGTTTATATTAGATGTTGAATTCGACACTAAACATGCTGCAGAACGTTTTTAATATCCTTGATTGTGTCTGTCATGTGCCAATGAGGTTTCCAGATCAATATTGATGTCATTGTTCTTTTCTCTATTATTTTCAACATCTCCTTTTCAAACCTGTTTTGTATTGCTTGACTTGAGCCGAGGATCTTTCGGTAACAATCTCTCTGCCTTCAAAAGGTATGGATAAGGTTTGCGTACACACCACCCTCCCCAGTCCCCACTTGTAAAAATTAAGTACCTAAACATACTTCCAAAAACTAAAAATAAAGTTTAATTTATATATATCTTGAACTACACGTGTCCAAGAACTAGTTTATAAAATATGTGTTTTTGCCTTTGAGAAGATGAAATTTTAGTTGCTTTGTTACATTTTTGTGCATAAGGGTACTCTTGCGCAAGTGCAGCATTACATCTACTCTTCGACAGTTAACATGCTGTAGAACGTTTTTAATTAGCCTTGATGGTGTCTGATATGTGCCAAGAAGTTTTCCTTTAACAACTTTTCAATTTTCTTCCTTTGTCAGCCTTGACTGCAGTTTTATTCAAATTGAAATCAGTAATCTGTATAAGATGAACTTTTATGCGATTGAGACCAAAAAAAATAATTAGAGTGCGAGTCATAAAAGAAAGATAAAATAGTGTGCAAATCACAAAAATGAAATTTTAGGGTTGCCAAACGCAAGGACTCCAAACAGGCTCATTGTTTTTTGCTTAAAGAAGTTGTTGAAAGAATCAGCAGATGCTTCGACAGTCATATTGACATTCTCCGAATTCGTGCACTCTGCAATTCATGGCGTTCAGCACTTCCTCCAAATTTAAAAATCCCCAAATCTCTGTCTCCTGTCAAACTACCTATCCCCAACAACATGACCCGCAATTATTATGAAAAATCTCAGTTTTACTTAATACAGGCTGGTTGGTGAAAGATTGTAAAAACAATAGACGAAAAATTTAAGATTTTGAATGTGATAATATGCCTACAAAAATGAATTTACTAGACTTTCGTGTTTCTCAAAAATCCTTTGCTTGTCTAGCAAAACATGAAATTAAATATACAAGGCAAAAAAGGGAAATTTTTTAAATTCGGAGGAAGTGTTGAACTCCATGAACTGCAGACTGCACGAATGTTAAATATTCTTTCTTTTACTTGTATTGGCATAAATAGTCTTGTAAATGCCATTTAGTCCAATATGGGAAGTGGAATCTCACTATGTTTTGAAACTTAAAATTGGAAATTTCAATTTTAACTATGAGAGTGCGTCCACCAAAGAAGTTCATACTACTGAACGTATGCCCCAAGGCACAAGTTATGCTTAAGGAAAAACAAATTCGCAAGACACAAGTTATATGCTATAAGACATAAGTTCAGTATATTAACTTCTTTAAGTATAATGTTCTAAAATTGAACTTATGCCTTATAGGGCATAATATATGTGTGGAGAATATTTTCTTAAATTGTTGGGGGTATTTTTATACGCATTCGATTACTTGAAGTGTTGAAGGATAAAAATTCTACTTACTAGAAATTAAGTAGTACGATTCAAACCAAACCTTACCATTCTTTTCTGTTTTTTTTTCTCTTTTAGGAAGGTATTATAATTATACTAGCTAGTTTAAAATCTATCCATTTAGACGCCATAGTGCAATGTGATTTTATTTTTGTTTTAACCACAAGGAAATCCACAATCGCTATTATTCTTTGGGTTCTCATTGATTAAATTTGCTCTTGTACAATAACTCATAAACTACACATAAGATATAAACCAAATTAAGCAAGTGTAGTGGGATGAGCTCAACTGAGAAGGTGTTGGCAGGGGGTCAAAATCTCTTACCTTCCTTATAGAATATCACCTGATTCACCAATTCAACCAACATAACGAATATGTAATGGTCATTTTGAAAGGGTTCCTCTTTAAGAATATTTAAATTAACTGAAAATGAAATTTACTAGTGATTGGTTAAGTAACATCCTTAATTTTGATATCAATAAACTATATACCTTTTTGATCTTATCTCACTTACTTTAGATAATTAAAATTAAGAAACCAATTAGTAGCGTGCATAGTTGGAAGTTTAATATACAAATCATACTACATATAGAAATACTAAGATTTGTTTTCTCGATTAACACAAATAGAAACACATCTCATGTGCCATAATCCACGTAGGACGTCTCGTTGGACACAAAGTTAATATGTAGAACGAACGTATCTATTTGTTTAATTTTATACATGTTTAACTGTCTATTTTTACAAATTCAAAATTGAAGGACATAAATGTCAGCAAAAGCCAAGTTGAATGACATATTTATGTATTACACATTTGTTACTTCAAAGTGCATTTAATACTACCCAAAATATGTAACATCGTTCTCATAATATATGATGTATTACCCTCACCGCCACATCAGTGCCATGTCAGAAATTAATTATAATTTTTGCACTTTATTGCTTTGCTATCCTCAAAACTGCGATTGGGAAAAAGCTTTGCTAGGGTTTTATGGTGAAAGCAATGAGCAGGGAAAGTAAGATGGCTTCTTGGTCTGATCTTCCGAAAGAAATTGTTGAAAAAATCAGTGAATCCCTCGACAGCCATATTGACATCACCCGTTTTCGTGCAGTCTGCAATTCATGGCGTTCAGCAATTTCTCCTAATTTTAAAATCTCTAAATCTCTCTTTCCCATCAAACTGCCTTTACCCAAGATAACAATGACTGAGGATTTTCATAAAGAATCTGAGTTTTATTTAATTGAAAGCACTGTTTATCTTTTACAACTTCCCCATCCTCCTCACACACCCTGGTTGGTCAAGGTTGTGAAAACAGTAGACGGAAAATTAAGGATTTTGAATCTTCTAACCAACACAGTATTCAAGGGTTTTCCCGATAAGAAATTGAATTCACTAGATTTCCGCCTTTCTCAAGTTTTTAAATCCTATCATGTGCAGTGGATCTTAAAGCCTTACGCCCGTGAATGTGAACTACAGGTTTTAGTTAGTAAAATCTT